GATTTAAATATCTTCTTTTCTTTTTAATCTGTCTTAAAAGGAGTAACTCTTTATATATTGTATCAAGCTTTCCAGCTCCAACATTCTACGTGACAAACTTAAGAGCATAAGATATATTCAAATGATTGAACATATATTTAATTTAAGTCCACAATATTAAAAATTTTCTTTTATATTTTATGCTTCGTACTCAGTCAAATTAAAACACTGCAATTAGAATAAAGAAAGCGATACAACATAATATGAATATTGAATAATTATCGTTATAATAAAATATTATTATTGATTATATTTATTATATTCCTATTCCTCCAATGAATCTATGGAATCCTTTTCTCCTCAACATTTTATAAGACTTGTATACTATATACTATTTTTTTTTAAAGCTAAGTGATTGATGCCTCCACATTAGTTCAAACATACTATTCTTAAAAATCAAACATGTCTGGGACTATGATATCTAAAATTTATTCCTTGAATAACTCATCATATTGATGAGTAATCAAGCATAGACATACATTAATCAACTTAAATAAATTAATTATAAGTGGTCCTATAGGGATAAATTCCCCCTTCCACTTACCATTTTTCCCATTTGATCTTATATTATCTTCAGATATATGTCTTCTCATATGTTTGTGGTCTCATCCACCTTTTTTACTTTATAATCCCATCATACTTTGATATTATAAAGATTTTCTTTTTACACAATTATTATTATTATTATTATTATTATTATATATATATATATATATATATATATATATATATATATATATATTTTGTTGTCTATTTTACCAAATTAAGATTATGTACAATATACATTGTTGCCTTGCATGTCACATTACATATCACACAATACAAGAGCTATTGTGACTTAGTAATCAACGAAATGAGTAAGAGATCATATGTTCTCACGTTTGAATTTTAGCAAAAAATGATTTATTTCTAAAAAGCTAGTTAACTAATATATTCTCAAAAAAAAAAGAAATAGTTGCTATAGAAGGGTAATATTATAAATTAAAGAGCGTATCGTTTTAGAGATAGTTATTATTGTTATAGATGAAAAGTTGTTATATAAAAGATAAAATTTAACATAAAAAGTCTATTTCGAGAAAAACTTGATATTTACATTCATTTGGTTTAGAGAGTTTTCGTTTTATTACAAGTTAAAAAGACGATTCTGATATTTGAGACGGTTATACACTTAAACAAAAGTCTATGATTTTATTTTAAAAAATAATATAAATTAATTCGACACAATTATATTCAATCAGTTTTGTTATATAAAAATATTGTTATAGTGAGTTCTGACCATATAAACTCACTTGTGCATAAAAATAAAATAGAATATCATTAAATAGATGTTGTACATATAGGGCAATTTTTTCAACTTTTATCTCTGTTCATGACAAGGGCATTTAACAGAATATTAATTGCCTAGTATCAACTATTGTATTCAATTATTTTTTAATAACCACATTATCGGTTGATTAGTACTCACTTTTTTTTTTGTTGTTGATTTATTTAGTGGGTGACTATGGACCATGTGCAAATGTGCCACTTGTATACTTTTTTTTGGTTGGGGGTGGGGTGGGGGATTCTATAAGATATGATAGCTTTTTAGCATTTATTTAGTTTGTGGGGCTCAATGGTTTCTTTGCCTATTTAAAGGTATGATAATTTTCTTGAGAAACCATTGAGTTTTTAGTAGTTCAAGTGTTTGTACTTTTTTGTGTGTGTATCAAACAATACTATGGCAACTTTGGTACCTGAGGTTGAGAATAGGGCATGTATCAATGGGTGCAATAATGATTTGACCAATTTTGATCACTCTCAAATAGATTGCTCCCTTCTCATGTCATTGCTTGATGACTCGCAAGGCGTAGACGATATTGATCATGATAACGAGAGATTATCGAGTGTGATTAGATCTCTCGAGGCTGAAATTGATGATCATCACCTGATAAACGTTGATCACGATTCATTTCAGAATACTCATCAAAGGAGTACTACCAACGATGAAGATTGGCAGTCGTGAGAATCTGATCAAAGTCAAAATCAAAGTTAAAATTTATTCGAATCGAGCTGTCTTGATTTGAGTTGGATGGATATAGAGATGGATATTGCTCCTTCTAATACCATTAGTGATGACATGATGAACTTTTGGTACATGGACAATAGTTATGGACAAGATCATGATGTGTATGAATATGGTTATGGTACTTTTCCCTTAGAGGAAAATGATCACAATTCATCAGCTTTAACAACACAAGCCTAAGTCGAAACTTCAATATGGACTTCGGAAATTAAAAAAAAAACACAAGGCTAAAGTTTGTGCCAAAAAATTATAACTTCTATTGTAATTGATTAGCTAGAGGTAAATTGTACTTGAATTAGATGTATTAGTGAGGAGGAACTCAATAAAATAACAACACGTATCATGCTCCTAAACCTTGGATGTCAATATTAATATTGGTGTTTGATTGGTATAGAGTTAAAAAAAAAAAATTACTACATTCAAAAGGTAATCTAAAAATCAAGTAATTTTTCTGAGGGATGTACATGGATCAGTTTGATTTGAGTTTTTTATTTATTGAATTAGGTCAAATACATAAACAGATCCCTAAATTTGTTGAGTTTTTTTTTCCAAGTATTTTAAGTACGTTTTGTTTCTTTAAAGCACTGTTGGTTGATTTTAATCGGATTTTCTATTGTAAATGCCTTCAATTGTGTTCGAATTGTAATAATTTTGATTAAATGAATGAAGACAAACCGTGTTAGTGTCATTTGTTTTCTAATGTGTTCAAATGACTTAAGTAAAAACATAATTATTTTCGAACATTTTCACTATCAATTGGACTAATGAGTTGTAGAACAACATATGTATCCTCTATCAATATCCCTCACAAATCTGGTTCCACATCAGACGACGGTGTTTGTTTAAACAGAACAAATTATGGAGGTTTAATGATTTAATAGGAAAATGACATAGTTAAAATACCTGAAGGAAAAAATCTAACAAATTTAGGAATCCGCTTATGCATTTGGCCATTGAATTAAATAAGTTATGTTAGATTTGTTATAGACAGTGGGCTAATATTGTTAGACCAATCCTAGTGTTAGAATATTGGTAGTTATTCGATATATGGAATATAGTTAATAATGTTTGAAATAAACTTTATCATGTGTTTAATTTGGGATAATAACTAATCCTAGAATAACGTTTACATCGAACTGATGAAGTTAGCTATCCCATATAGAAGGTGAGATGGCTAATCTCATAGGATATCGTTTGATATACCATATTATTGTACCATAAGAAATAAAAACTAAAGTTAAAATTAAGGAAATTAAATATCTATAAATTATATATTAAAATGTTTTTAGGTATAGAATAATATTAGAGTTGTATACATATAATATTGGATTGGTTTGATATAGGTGTAGTAGCTTACTAAGTACAATACTATTTCTATTTGTAGGAGATCTATGAAGGGTATTCATTTGTCACCGTTTATAAAATTTAAAAAAGCTCTTGAACTTGATAACAAGACTTACTTTAGCACTTAATTACATGCCGTTTAAATTATTCTTTAACATCTCTGAAGTGATTTTTTTTCAATCCTAATACTACAATATCAGTCTCACAGTGGCAAGTGTATAACACACACGCCATTTAATTGCCACGTGCATTACCACGCCAGCGCCACATTGAAAATTATAAATTTTGAGTTTTTTAGTTCTTTTTTTTTTTATACATTTTTAGAAAGGTAAAAATAGAAAAGAAAATTGAGAATTAATTCAAGATAATAAAAATAAAATCAAACTCTAACATATTCAAGACTAGAAAACATTCAATTTTTAAAACATATTATCGAAATAAATAAATAATACAAATTAAATAATTAATTTGAGATGAAGAAATTATAAATTTTTTATTAAAAAAAGTTTCAAGTTCATCATAATCAACAATCCTTCCTTCCATATGTAAAATCTTGAAGCAACAACTAGTTGTTGGATTTTTCATTTTTTCTTAATAATCACTTCTAAGAATAAGCAAGAATAATTTGAAATGAAGAAATATAAGTGGGGGTGCTTCGAACAAGAAGAAAGAAAGTGGCGGGGAGAAAAGCTCGTTGAATAATAAGAAGAAAAGGGTGAGATAAATATGAGTCGCGGCGAGGTTCGAAATAGGAGAAAGAAGGGTGCAGGTGGGGGGTTCGAAGAACAAAAGGTGGGGTTGTTGGTGAACAAAGGTGGTGGGGTTAGATGAAAGATGAAACCTTATTGGTTGGAAAGAAAAAAAGGAGCCTATTTATTTTATTTTTAATTTTTTTTTACGTTTTCACTTGCTTTATTTTTTATTTGCCACATCAACTTTTTGGGTGGATTTTAATTCACTTGAAATGAGATTAGGGAGGTAAATTGTTTTTCTGAAGGAGTTGTCATTTTCTATCAGGAACGCTATGTCATTTTGAATCTCGGCATATTTCAAATACTTGAAGGCCCCGCTGACACGAAGTGATTTAGAAAGATTCTTCTTTATCGATGGTGATCGGTCATGGTATCCATAGCCTACCTTATCTTACATTATCTGAAGTTGGACGGGATATAATTATTTGTAAAGTTAAAATGCTAAAGTAAATTTTGCAGACAAGTTCAGTTTTTTTTAAAATGTATTTTCCTATTTGTATATGTTGGATCTTTTTACTTGCTCAAAAAGATATTAGATAGGTAAACAATGAATATTTGAAGTCCAAAGAAATGAAAATGATCATCTTTATGACATTTCTTTGAGAAAAGAGTAATTATCGAACTTGATTCAACAAGAAAGAGTATGGAGATGACGAAATGATGATAGGAAGAACCCCAAAGGCATACGCAAAAAAAGTATTGCATACATTTAGACAAATCCTACGGGCTTTGCTTAAAGCAGACAATGTCACACCACAAAATGATGATATATAAAACCCCATAGGCATACACCAAAAAAAGCATACACAGAAAAAGTATTGCATACTTTTATACAAATCATACGGGCTTTGCTCAAAGCAGACAATGTCGCACCATGTCAGAAGTTTCACTAACATGTACAAACAGAAGCCAATATGAAACTATTACATTACATATATTCATGTACAAGTAAAAGGTATAACAGTAACTCTGCATTAAAGAAAATGTACAACAAACATATTCAAAGATTAGAAACTTTTGGACTTACTGAATTCATAGCTTTATCATGAACTAATTCCTCACTAGTTTTCATGTTTCCCTTATCACTTACCAATTCACTACTCTTCAATGTGTTGCCATTGGGATTCTCAGTGCCAGTGCTGGCTATGAAACGACCGCTCACTGAACGGCCTAGAGGTGAACCAACTAAGGGAGTAAAATCGTCGGAGGAGTCAGATTCCACAGATAGATCTCTCTCTGATGCTGTTGGTTCTAACTCACCTTTAGATTTTCGTGATGACTTCCGAGATACATGTCTTAGGATATTCTTCGCCTTGTCACGGACTCTACTCTTGTTGGAGCTACTACATTGAACATTTCCCTCATGAGCCTCTTTACTATCATCTCGGGGAGTTGTTTCCACTGAATCGTTCATAATAAGATTCACACCGATCCCCTTTGCACTCACTGCCTTTAGATTAGCTTGCGGAGATGGAACAGGATCTCCAAGATTTATAGACCTGTCCTCGCTTTTCTGACTTTTGTGGAAGAAGGACCCGATCTTATTTATACCCCTGTTAATTAGATTCGACTTCTTAGATCCACTGCCTTCATCAGAATCATCACCCCGAGTAGATCCTCCCCCTCTTAACTTGAAACTTCCTCCCATGGAATCAGCATCAGAACCATGAACTTCTCCATCGATAACCCGACTCTTTCCCTTTCTCTGTTCCCAAACTTGTGGTACTTCACTGCCAGGGTGGTGTACCCACATGCCAGTCTCCTTCTGCCCTTCTATGTTAATTGGTTCATATGTATCTGCAATTTTTGACGATTGCTTATCCATCTCGGTGGGTAAGGACCCTCTTTCGGCTGTATCCATCTCATCAGAATTGCTCTCCTGTTTGATGTCCGTTTTTGCCTGCTCGGATGACTGCTCTGTAAACTGAAAATTAATACACATAAATTTTCAACCATCTATACTTTCGTTAGTAAAAATATATGGCCTACTTGTCACTAGGCCTAACTAATTCAATGACATCAGCTGGAAAACAGAATAATTTGAAAATTGAATCATTTCCAAAAGCAATTAACAGTGATCTCATGAGAAGTGTTGGCTTCGTGGCAGCCTAAGTACTTGTTTACCGTAACTTGCTGGAAAGAAGTATGTACCTTTTCGCTGCCTTCAACTACAGTTATGGCAAGACGTAGTCTCCCCATTTTAACATTATGAAGAGACAACCATATATCATGCCTCTGGCCATCCCTATAATCACAGATGTTTATGGAATAATCTCTGCCAAAAAGAAACATGTTGAGTAAATAAAGTGCACACAAAAGCATTTGCATTTATTAAGGCACATTTTGCATAACATTCAATAGAAGAGAAGATGCTGAAAGGATTCTTCAAAAGGGAAAAAAAGAATATGATAGCAAATAGATTATGTAAGTTTTATTCTTCACGCGGCCAGTGAAGATCCTACTTTCTTCAAATACAAAGGAACTCAAGATATGAACAGGGACGAGAAACACAAAAGACAGCAAAAATCTATCTCTACTTGTCCAAGTCATCATAATATCTCAATAGATAGGAATATGATGTTACTACGAGTATTAGCTACGCAGGAGATAGATGAAGCATAAAGATGAGCACAATACAAGCTGAGAATCAATGGTTGTGGAAGAAGGAACTAAAAGCAAGAAATAACTCGCAAAGAGCAACAGAAGCCACCTAAAAATGGAAATTTCCCAGCGTAACCCGACCCTTACGTGGTTGGAGTTAACAACTCACTCCTGGTCTATCCTTATTTTTCCCCTTTTCTTTTGGATGATAATGATGTCTCAGCCATTGGAGGGGATCCTTGGTGTAACTAATAAATTTGTAGCCATCTGACCAGGAGGTTCGGTTCCGAGCTGTGGAAACAACCACCTCCAAAAATGCAGGGCAAGGCTGCATGCCTGCGATCATTGGACCCAAGTGGTCCAGCCCATCTCTGAACCTTGCACTTAGAGGGAGTTTAGTGCACCGAGCTGCCCTTTCTTTCTTTTTGATGGTGTCTGGACCAATAATATATCCTAACATCCTATCATTAGTCTATGACTCTATGCTACTGCAGTAAAAAGTAAAAGAGAAAAACAGACCCCAATGTTTCATCCGCAGAAAAATGGTCTCTGTCACAAACATCTATGTTGAGCATATCGTTAGGAGACTCCCATGAACAGACTGGAATCTTGAACTCCTCTTGCCACTGTGGAGCTAATGTCTTCTTCTGAGTCCTAGTCTTGAATCTGTAGGGCCCAAGATGCCCCTTAACATATGGATCAGAGAGTCCTGAAAATGATCTCTCAGGTATTTAGCATGTCCTAGTTAGATAGATTACAGTAAGAGGATTTCCGGCTAACCATTTAAATCTGCTGGCTTTAAGTCTTCCGCTTCAAGGACTTCCAAAATAACATGGGCAATGGGCTCCTTTGCATCGATAGAAAACCAGCTTTCCTCTGAAAAGAAAACAAACAATATCGAATTAAGTAGCAGAAATAATATGCATCCCAAACTGAAGCCAACCAGCTCTTATTCCCTTATTTTCCATCCAAACAAGCTATGAACAAATCGCTAAATAAATTATCGTAGTACAAACAAAATGAATGAAGAGGATTCTTGAAAATTCTCCGCACGAAAGATTTGATGTTGCAATTTACACTACTAAATACCTCCACATAACAAATTATTTCAAATCCATTCATGTGTTGTGGTTTAGGACATCATTCACAATAATCCATTATTAATTTGGGCCTCATAATATTGAGCAACGAGAGAGCGAGAGCGAGAGAGACAGGTTAGAGTAACTGTTACCTTGTTGGGGTGAAACAAATTTCTCCATGTGTACTACCAGCATATTGGGCTGCAAAATGTTATCCAGACTTTAGTCTAAAAGCTCCTTACGAATCATTAATTAGGACTTTTGGTAACCATAATACCAGTTGGTGAACTATGCACACCATTTGAGCAAGTGAAAGAAAAGGCCGAGAGTTGATACCCGATAGTGTATTAATGTGAAACATTTATCACTATATAAAAGGATCAAGGTCAAAACAAAAGACACTTAATACTCCAAGCATGATGGAGGAATGTAGTAAAAAAGACAATGGGAACCGCACCTCAACAAGTGTCTGCTCAAATGCAACAGAAAGAAGATTATCCTGAAAAGAAGGCAAAACAAATTTAGAGCAAGTGCACAACTGCCGAGTCATTTACCGAGATACTGAGAGAGATCAATTTTAACTAACCAGCCATCCAGCAACTCCAGGAAGTTCTGTCACATCAATCCCGTGTGTAAAAATCGGTTTTACAGTCATCTGAAAGTAAGGAGGCTCAGCAAAGCACACCCGCATACGACCAAGAAATGGCCACTTCCTTAGGAACTTCACACCAAACAAGACCTACATGGCAAAAGTTAGCCCCAAAGAAATTTATTTTGCAATATCTGGGAGCAAAATATGACCATCCATCACATCAATGATAAATCATCAGATTTGAGAATGATAAACAAAATTTATCAAAGCTCTAAATATTTCAATCCCACAGTGCCTAAACTACAACCGGCAGACAACTTTCTGAAATTTCCATGAGAGAATTAGCATCCAACTCTATGTCTAGAACTAGAATTTATAAATCTATGATTCTTTTACCAGCCACAACATCAAAACAACACTAAAGGATGAGCCAGATCATACTCACGTCATGCTAAGCATCCGGAAAAAGCTATTTTCCAATAATATAAAGAATCATGGTGCATATACTGAATCAATCAGTACCATTTTGAAATTAGCTGTAAATATTTAATCCAACCCCGTCACTGCTTGATAATACTATCACGCAATCCCATATTTACGTAAATTGAATTCATCTGAGATACTAATATCAAGAGTCCAGATTTTTCAATCATCAAAATGTTTCTTTAGGCCCCTTTAAACAATCCTCATACAAGTCTTCTAACAAAAGACAACATCAACATCTGAGCTCTTTGTTCTCGATTGGGAAAGAAAAAGAACATGTGAGGAACAAGGCGTAAGTTCTAGAACATTAAAATAGCCTTTTCATTAACTTTTCAGCTAAATGTGCCAAAGTAAGTAAGATCCGTAATGCACTTGTATTGTAAGTAAAAAGGCAGTCATGCAAAATCTAAGGTTACATCTAGTTAAGATTTTAAGTAGTATTTTAGAACTAATGAATCTCATAATGGAGTTGTAAAAGATATACCGAAACTCCTAATCTGCCCCCTTCACATCTATCAGTTGGCATTAGTTATTTACCTTTCCCTCGATGTGCATTCCCAACAGATGCAACTTTGTCACCATCCCAAATCCCAACCTCTTCTTCAGCTTCGCAGCAAGAATCGCACTCATGTCATCTGCAGAACGAAAATTCATCCCCAGCTCCAATACCTGCACCAACATATCTTAGCAGATAAGCAAAAGTCGAGCAGAACCATACTGATGGAATAGAACAACTTTCTTAAGTCAGGATTACATACAAGGTGATCATCTCCAGTAGATTCACGAAGAACCCTCATTTCCGTGAACATAGGTGGGCTTCTTCCTAAGTAGAGAGACTGCACTGCAATGTCTTTCTGTAGGTTAACAGAAAAGCATCCTAGTAACTTATCTTGCAGAACAAATTAATCCTCATACTGAAGTTATGAAAATTGCTGATGATATTACAATGATTAACAACTAATGTATTTAATACAGAAGCCAACAATTAAACCTAAAATAACTATAATTCAAAGCACATAGTAGAGGGGAAAATCAAAATCAAAACCAAAACCATTTTACATTTAAACGGTAATTGGTACATAAGTATCCCTACCACAGTCCAGGGTTTGTATTTCTGCATAAACCACGGAATGATAGGGAGGAGAATTTTCTGTGAAACGATATTCTCCATGCATACAGGCCAAATCTTTTCAAGAGCATGGTTTAACCACCTCACTGTTTCAGAATCAGAAAGCACCTGAGAAAAGCCAAAAAAAAAAAAGATATAAGAATTAACAAAAATGTATTGACTCAAATACCACATCTATAGCAAGTGACTACCATTATCATCAGTATTCAAGCTTAAGAAATCTAATTTGCTTGGCATAATCTAACAACAACAACAACAACAACAAAATAACGAGTGTAATGGGGAGGATGGGTGTACAATCCTTATCCCTACCTTGTGCAAGTAGAGAGGTTGTTCCCAATAGACCCTTGGCTCAATAAGGCAAAAACACAACATTTATGGAAATAAAGGCAGAAACAACAGCAGGATAGTACGAAAACCAAGGCATAAGAGACAACAAGTAGTATTAGAAAACTAAAAACGAGAAATGCAGAAATAATAAAATAATAAAAATACCAGAAATAATACTAATACTACTAGTAGGAAAAACAAGATACAAAACTATTACTACTACCCATCTACCCGAATCCTCCACCTCCCCTCCGGTAAGCATGTCCTTGGTAAGCAGAAGGTTTGTCATGTCCTATCTGATCACTTCTCCACAAGTTCATTTTAATGACTTTTGTAAAGTAGTACAGATTCTGGTGTAAAGATGCTACTCATGAGACCTAATTAACTATTCAACCTAATTTGGCATAAAGAATCATAGTGCAAAAGAAAATGAACATTCTGGGACCCTTCAACAAAATGTAAAGCTTGGGACTTTTAACAACTACAAGAAAACAGAATCCTCCATATTTCACTAATAAAGCCATAAAATCTCTCTCAGCAACTTTTTGAATCTTGGAATTTCTTATACTTTTTGTCCATCAATATTCTTTGTGGACCTGTTAAATCAAACAACACAAGAAATACATAAAGATACTACAAACTGTGCTGCTAAATACTCACTCGTCGTTGATTCGACTGTCTTTTTTCCTCAAACTGCAATTTCTTCTTTAATCTAGTCACATACTGCTCATTAACCTTCAAAGAAACACAAACAAAAGCCTAAATTAACATCATAAGACCACAAAACCTTAAAAACCAGAAGAAAAAAAAACAGAATCTTGTAATACATACCAGATAAAGATAGATTAGGGAGATGAAATAAACCAAAGGGTGACCATAATTGAAGGAATTAAGCAACCATATTACTATCAACACAATGCACACATGATGTAGAATTGTAACCTCTGTTATACTTGCCATTTCTTAAAATCTCCCCACCCCAGAAAAAAAAAACTCCCTCTTTATTCCAAATTTACAGTCTTTCATCAAAAATAAACACACCCATCACCAAATCTTGACCAAAAAACTCTTTTTTGATTCCTATATACAGTCACATATCAAAAAATAAACACACCCATCATGAAATCCTGGAGAAAAAAAAAACTCTTTTTTGTTAATATTTACAATTACTGATCAAATATAAACACACCCATCATCAAATCTTGAAAGAAAAAAAACTCTTTTTTGATTCCTATATACTGTCACATATCAAAAAATAAACACACCCATCATGAAATCCTGGGGAAAAAAACTCTTTTTTGTTAATATTTACAATTACTGATCAAATATAAACACACCCATCATCAAATCTTGAAAAAAAAAAACTCTTTTTTAAGTCACTGATCATTAATAAACACACCCATTAAGAAATCTTGAAAAAAAACACTCTTTTTTTGTTTCTTCATTATAGTTATTAATGACACCCTAACTTTTTTAATGCATTTGTTGTTTAACCATTAATTTGGTTTTCCATTCTTTTACACGTAAGTAAAGTAGTGTAGTAACTGATTCTGAAAGCAATTGAAAATGTCAAAAACGGGTCGGGTCGGGTGATTTTTCAAGAAATCTTTTGGAATAACATGGCGATAGAATTGGAGAGTTGCTGGAGATCCGTATTTTTGAAGTTTTCGTTTCAGTTTTGAATTGCCATTTGCAGGGTGGCACGTAGAATACACATGTCTGAAAGAGACTAATGAATAAGGTAAGTAATTTGATAACCATAAGGTTATCTCCGATCCTATTTTCTATTTTACGCTTTAAATATAGAGTTTTATATTTTTCTTAGATAATCAACTTTAGTCCAATTCTCTATTATATTAGAAATGTTATTCTATCTCTTTAATATTATATTATTATTTTTATTTTATTCTTATTTTTCTAATATAAATCGCTTATTTCTTTTTTCGATAATTTCGCCATATATAACATTTTATTTTTTCAAATTTTTTATTTAATATAAAATGATATTTTATTCTAAATTTTTAAATAACATAAATTTCAAGAAAATATATTATAATATACAAATTAATGGACAAGATTGAAATACGATTACATAAAGCAATCAATTTTTGAAATTATTACTTTGCTTCTATAGATGCGGCTGAGTTCAAAATGAGCATTATTGTCCTTAATTTTTTTTATGTATAGCTAAAAAATTGTTTAAATAGGAGATCTTTATCTACCACAATTTCTGTCGTTGTAGTTGGAACCTCTACGACATCGTGAATTGGTGTATTAAGATCATGTTCACCCTCAAGTTATCATGTTGTGCAGTATAATACATGTAGTTATTATTCATGTAATACTTCATTTCCTCAAAAACGTGATGGTCCTATAATAATTGCAAAACGTCATTGTGAAACTCTAAATTAATTATTCTGTTATTTATTGTATTTTATCTTGTATTTAAAATATAATGTTATGTATTGTATTATTATGTTGTATTTAAATTGTCATATTATGTATTTTATTTTCAAATTAAAATTTTTATCTTATCATTTTTATAGTGTTTATTCTTTATAGTGAAAATTAATAATAAAATCACATTATATCATTGATGAAAATTATAAAAAAAATAAAATACCATTAATCCGGGATAGAAGTACTATATATTAAATAATATATCTTTTAAAATATATGTTACATTTAAAAATAAGTATGAATAATAGATGTTTAATTAATGACATTATATGTAAAATAATATGTTATTTAGAAAGTAATAGAAAAAATAATAAAATAGTCAAAAAGTAAAATAGAGAGCGTGAATAGTAGTTCTCCTATATTTGAAGAATAGAGAATGATATAGAGATGTGTCGGAGTGTAAATTATCTATTTTACTCTTTAAATATAGAGAATGGAGAGTAAAATAGAGAGTCCGAGCCTAAAGGATATAAAATATTACAAAAATTTCAAAACGGAAAAATCGCTGGAACAACAGCGATTTCATTTTTTTTTAAAAAAAATTAAAATTTTTTTTTAAAGAAAATCGTTGCCCTAGGCAGCGATCGATTTTTTTAAAATGAAAATCGCTGCATTAGCAGCGATTTTACTTTTTTCGGCAGAGGAAATCGCTGTTGTTCCAGCGATTTTGTCATTTTGGTTAGTATAAAATTTTATATACCATTTTAAAATTTTTATTAATATTTTATACCCTTTAGGCTCCAAACTCGTAAAATTGAGGTGGATTGGAGATGGTTCTAAGACAAAAACAAGAATATTAACTGCATAACTCAAATATTGATTAATTGAACCATTAATAGCTTTTGTGCATATTTTTCATGTGCTACATATTTGTGTCTATCGATGTAAGTCCTCAAAAAACTATTATTGCTTTCAAATCGGATAAATAAAAAAACTAAACCAAATCAAATCAAATTAATAATAACCACATCTACGATTTCGTTTGATTTAATTTGATTTTAATTTATTTTTTTAAAATTAACTAAATTAATTTAGTTAATTTAGTCAACTACGGACACCCTATCCATTAGTAATATCAAAAATTCCTTTGTGCATAGTTGAGTGTACTAAACTAGGTCGATTTTTTTATTTTTTTTTTTGGTAACAAATAAGAGCTGACAAAAATAAGAATATAAACATTAAAAAAAATTTCAAATATATAAATGCCATAAGTCTCTTTCAAGTACTAGAGAAAGAGTAACAAAACAAGAATTAAAAAATTTGATTTTTTATCAATTGAGTTAAAAAGTAAAGTTGTTATATTTAATAAGTAATCAAACGTGGAGGCAACTTAAAAGGTAATTTAATGTGACTCGTAACTTTTTTTTTTAAAGAAAAAATCTAATTTCATGAATTATATCAAATTTTTTAAAAAATATTTTTTAGTTTTGTGATAAAAGATGAAATGATTTAAACACTTCTAATATCTAGATATAATCAATATATTTTCTTAGTCTATTTCAAAAAATTATTATTTTATTATAATTAAAAATAATTTAATTTTTAATACTTCTTAAATATCATAACAAATTAAATAAAATTGTCCAGAATATTACAGGTGGCATCACCTTTCGTGTTAAGCACTAAATATTGTTAAAATCACTACCAATTGCATATTTAATTAAAATTTGTCATTTTATTATTACATAATGAAAAATATGTTATAAACGGTTTGTATTACAGTGAGTGAATGTCTAATTATGTGGAGTGCTAGTAGGATATGGTTAGGAATCCTACTTAGGAACAAGTAAGATTTTCCCAGATCTTCCTTCATTGTAAATAAGATTGAAAAAAGATGTATGAATCCTGAATATACTACAAGAAGTCTATTCTCTTCTCCCTATTTCTTCTTTTTCTAAATTTATATAGTTTCATAACAAAATCATTTTTATTAAATGTTTTTTCATTTTTCTACATCTTCTTCATTTTCTAGCATCTCCATTTTATTGCCAAAACCCCATATTTTTCTTCCTTTTAAATCTTATACTACGTCGTTTTCAGCACAAATCATGCCTTGTAAACTTATTTTTCGTCAATTATTCGAGAAGGAATCATCTACCTATACTTACCTTCTTGCTGATTCATTGCATCCTGATAAACCAGCACTGGTAATTTTTAAATTATTTTTTTTATATATTTAGTTCAATTTTTAATTTGGATAATCTTGGGAAATGTGTATTTTGATGTACTGGTGGGAGGTAGCAGATATGGTAGAATTAATTTATGTGCACGTGTTTGCGGTAAATTTTAAAGTGATAGGAAATTGACTACAAAGGTTTAGGTTTTATTAATGAATTATTAGTGCTTAATATTTGATGTTTTGATCTCTTTCTAAATATATATCTAAAATTTTATGGAATATTCGAGATGTTGTTCAATAGAATGTGTTAAACTCCCATTTTTAAGGTGTGAGATAGACCTAGGAGTTTGAAGATGGATTGGAATCATGATGGGATCCGGTAAAATTTCGATGTCTACAGCATGTTAGGTGGTTCGAACACCATAATTATTTTTTAAAAAATAGAAGGTAAGATAGAGTTATATATGGTACTTGTGTTGATGAGAGGTAGCATGTATCCCCGTGGAATTAGTCACACAATAGCTACACTCATGTCAGGATGTCCAATTAGACCCCTTTGTCGGAAAATTATACTGTATATACAAGTACAATAATGAACAAAGTAGTTAAATTACATATTCTGGACATCCTTGACACAACAATGTGATGTATCAGGGTGATTTCAGGCGTCTTGGAAGTGCCAAGACACACAAACTTGTGTTTGAATCTCACTAGTAGAAGCTCTTTTTTCACTTTTTAAGAAGAACAGACTCACTTTAGCTAGCTAATCGGTGGATTTAGAAAGCAAAAAGAAATAAGAATTGTATAACTTTAACGATCAACATTACCTTAGCCTTCTTAATTGAAGGTGTAGAGATTCATTGGTTTGCTTAGTTTAATTTATGGTAACATATAATCCAACTGCAGTTGATTGACCCCGTGGACAGAACAGTGGATCGTGATCTTGCACTTGTTAAAGAATTGGGATTGAAGCTTATATACGCTATAAACACGCATGTTCATGCTGATCATGTCACTGGCTCTGGCTTGATTAAGGTCGGACTTTATTTTCTTTGAACATAATACTTCATTTGCCTACATTTTTCTAAAACTGTCCCTCTTCTGTTTTCCGGTGCTTCATTATTGTTTTCGGTGCTGTAGACTAAGGTGCCTGGCGTGAAATCAATCATTTCTAAAGCAAGTAATGCAAAAGCTGATCTTTTTGTTGAACCTGGTGATAATATCTACATCGGAGATATTCATTTGGAGGTACACATACATATATAGTTATAAGAAATAATCATGTCATACGTGTTGTAGTAGTTATTATACATGTCTGATAGACTTGCAAACACAGACAATTACTAACAGTTTGTTGTGCAACTGAGTCATCAAATCTTGTTAGGGTAGATTCGCTTAGACCATCATAATCATCCCTCGGTTGTACAGACGTGGGATCACTGGAGTACAAGAAGAATAGCTATCGACTCTCTTACTTGGTCGTTACTCGTTATAATTCTCCATCAGTTATATGAAGACACCTACCAAAGTATTCATGAATATTTGGTTGTAGTGCTGAAATCTACCTTCCTTCTTCATTGCAGGTTCGTGCAACTCCCGGTCATACGTTAGGCTGTATTACCTATGTTACTGGAGATGGAGTCGATCAGCCTCAGCCAAGGATGGCATTTACTGGTGATGCTCTATTGATAAGGGGATGTGGAAGGACGGACTTTCAGGTACATCCTCCTGATGTAGTGCGTGATTTTAGTCGAATGAAATGGAAACCTTTACTCATTAGTAGTTCGAGATGGACTTCAGGAAATGAAATAAAGTTTTGTTTTCTATTAGAATCAAATTTTAATCATTTTTCTTATTTTCCTGCAGGGTGGAAGTTCAGACAAATTATATGATTCTGTCCATTCGCAGGCAAGGATATAGTATCTGTTTCCTTCAAAAAATATAGTAACACGAATGTTCGATTCTTTTCTTATTCTTACTGTTGCTGATTCATTACCATTTTGTCTGAACAGATTTTCACATTGCCGAAAGACACATTAGTATATCCTGCTCATGACTACAAGGGATTCACCGTAAGGATATATGTATTATCTTTTTTCCAGGTTATGAAGTTGCGATTCTCAAATTGTTTACAATAGTGCATTTTATTCTTCAGGTCAGCACAGTGGGGGAGGAGATGCTTTACAATCCACGACTGTCAAAAGATAAGGTACTTCTACACCAGTAGTTCTTATTATCGTTTTAGTTTCACGAGGAACACATCCCTCTGTGGCTAAAGTGTGAGGGAACATGAGCAATCCACTTTCTTCTGTAGTCGAAAAACTTGGACAAGATCTGGCTTTAGCTACCAAAGTGGACGAAGATGGGAGTTTAGATAGTCTTGTTCTGTTTTCACTTGTTGTTCCATTAGTAACATCTCACGTCTTTTCATTTGCATCGTAGAGCTGACTCTACTTACATAAAGTTTTTAACTATACGCGTCTGTTGTTAATTTCTCTTCTTTTTTCTAAGAAAACCTCGTTTCATTCTTGTTATCGATATTGCAGGAAACATTCAAGAATATCATGCAAAGTGAGTTAGCCATTTGATTTTTTTCCTTGTCTCCTCTCAATAGCTTTTTTTTTTTTTCATTATCAGTTGCTTATGAAAATCACTTTCTTCCATACAGATTTGAACTTGTCATATCCAAAAATGATCGATATCGCGGTTCCATCTAACATGGTTTGTGGATTGCAAGAGACGAAATCTGATCTTTGATCTCTGGTTTGATCATTTCATTGTGCCAGAAATTGTAAATTGAGAGCAATCTATACACATTTAGAAGTGCAAATTGACTATGTATGTTTGGATGGAAATGTTAAATAATGGTTTATTCAATTCAGTTAGTAAGAACTTTGTTAAATTGTTGTGATAATATGAATATTGAGTGTTCATATTTATTTTTTTTCTATCCAGTGTCTGGAGCCTGCATTGGAGCTCTGACTAAATTCAGATCGCGCTTTGCAGGGCTCATTCGAGGCTGACACTCCTAAACATGATTTTCTTCATATCTAGAGCTCAAAACCCGAGACATCTGGTTAAGGGTGAAAGACTCCCACTAACCACCAGTTTACCGCAAACTCATGTTGATAATATTGTGTTCATATGATACATCATAATACCACATATTCTTTCATAATGACTCACTCTATTCTACCAAAATATCACCAAATCATTTTTTTTTATTAAATTACCCTTCCTTCAGAGCTTTTACCTTTTTGTTTTCTTAATAAATTGAACCATAAACTTAAAATTGAAAGTGATAGATATTTATCATCCGATCAATAACTTTTGTTATTATATGCCGGTCAATTTTTATATAAATAATAATCTAAAGGAAATAGCACGTCAACAGAATAAATTTATGTTTTAATACTTATTCATAGGTCATAGCTAATAAGTGACTTGTTAATAGTTTAGGATGTTGTCATCTCCAACATGTGGCCGCATAGGCGGAACCAAGATCAGGAGTTTGAGATTCTAAATTAATTTCATTTGGCGGGGTCACGTTTCAGTATACATATATTTAATACAAATATAAAATCTACGAAAAAAACTGCTGAATTTATTCAAATATATAAGTCCTCACCTAATTCCGCCTCCGCAAGTCACTTTTCAACATTGTCAATACTTATCCAAAAACCACAAGATTAGTTTTTTTCTTAAAATAATTTGAAATGTAGTTGGACATATCCACGTGGAAGCTCATAATTAGTCAATCATAACTACATAGCCAACGAATAACAATCAAACATAAATGTTGATCCAAAATTCCCAACTCAAAACTTAGAAAAATTCAACAATTAAATTTTTTCAAATTCAATGAGTGAAGAAGGTAAAGAGAGTCATCATCACCACCACTTCCTACACCATCACCACCACGGAGAACACCATCACCACCACGGAGAACACCAACCGGAGGCGGTGGCGGTACCGGTGCCGCCACCGGAGTATGGAACTTTTCAAGCATCTTCTCAACCGGTGATGGGATTTCCTCAGCCAGTTCCGCCTCCTGGCGCTATGGGAGCACCTACGCCTGAATACTATGCTCATGGTTATCAGGCTGTTCCAGGTTCTTGCTCCTGTACTTTATCCATTTTGAAGTTTGAAACTTGAAAATTTGAGTTTTTGAAGTTGTGAATGTTGTAATTTGAGTTTGTGTTTTTCGATATGCTTGGAAAAAAATTGAACTTTTTGTAAGTGAAAAATGAAATTTCTCCCTAAAACTAGTCGAGACCGGGTTTTAAAAATTGTTTTTGATTTGGGTGGAGCCACCCTTAGATCGGAGAACTGGCTCAAACTTATGATCTATTTAGAACTAATTAAGCAAAAAGGATTGTGATTCAGAACTCGTAAATTAAAAATCCTGGCTTTGTCTTTGATGTTATTTCCATGGTTTAGGGTGGATTTGACTTTGATATGGAAAATACTGTTGAACTAACTTGAAATGTGAAATGAAGCCATAAGAAACTCGTGGTAGGTTGTACAAGTAGCAAATGATAATTTTTCGTAGAAGCATAATTCATAACTCAGAGGCGGATTCAGGATTTAAATTTCATGGTTTAGTCTTACCCATGAACTCATTACCCTTTTGAAATTATAGGTACATAATTTGATTTTAGTGATTTTTTTAACATATATATTTTATGTTCCATGTCGAAAATGTTGGGTTCAATCGATTTTGTACTGAATATGCCTACGCCTATCCTGACCTCAGATAGTCTGGATTAAAGCTTAGTTGATTTATCGATTAGCTACAGTTCAACCTAGTGTTACAAATGATTAACTTTACATATTCTATGAAGAGAGATTATCTTGTAGGATTATATTTTTAAGGCGGTATGAGGAGACTATCGATGAGTTCTATCATTTGTAACATCAGTATTGTTTATCTATCAGAAGTTCAAAACTAGTGTTATTTACAATTTTCTGCCATCTTTTGCTGATTTTTTAGGTTATACTGCTCCTGATCCTGAAGGAAGACCCGAGAGACATCATCGCCTTCCTTGCTGTGGCATTGGTCTCGGATGGTTCTTGTAAGATCCATTTTTCTTCTCCTTAAATAATCAGAATTCGAGTTGAATTATTGGTGGTTCATGTTGATTTGTGCTTTTAGTAACATATGCTTCTTGCATACTAGTTATCTCCTATACAAGTTTCAATCTGGCTATATCACTAATATTACTTTACAAACTTACTCAAATGGATATCAGAGGCTAAGTGATGGACTGTCTTTTTTATCACTCTACTTTATCTTATATTCTCTGGATTTATGCATCTTTTCTCCACAAGGAAGACACAACATTTGTTGTTTCTTGTCTTGATTAGTATAGGGTAATGTGCCTGGCGATTCTAGAGCTAATGATTGTATCTCCAAGTGCATACCATCAAAGTACAAGAAAATCGATGAGAAGTAAACAAACTAACAATCTTGAATGTTCCTTGAAAGGGTGCTGGAAATCGTGCCCTTGATCATTCATGTTCTCCTCCAAGAGAGCATATTTTGGGAGAGTTAGTAGCTTTAAAAGAATCATTGAAAGAAAAAGTGGATTATTCGAACATAGTATTTAGTGGCTTGAAGCTTCAAATATACTGGAGATATTCTTTTCCCTACAGGGTTTCTCATTTTTAGTTGGAATTGTGCTGACCCTGACTTGTTCAGTTGTTTCGCTCTTGTCACCTCCCACCAAACAGCAGGTACTAGGTAATTCTATCACCAAATTTAGGACATATGGGAAGAAATCACCTAGTATTTTTATCTATACCGGGATTTGAACCTGAGACTCATGGTATTCAGCCCATTTCATGGACCACTAGGCCACAACCTTGGGTGCTCTGAGGCGTAGTTGTTGTCGAGAAGGCCCAAAACCAAATGATGCAGCATTCTTGTGCTTCATCGTCTAAGAAAGTGCTTTGGCAGTAGAGATAAATAACAGGCCAAGGGACCTGTGATAGAATAATGGACGACACAAGAACTTTCTGTTGAACATGTTAGTTGAATTTGAATGTATCGATAGTTACTATATAGATTTGTTGATGTTTAGCGAACATTGGTAAGATTGACATTAGAAAGTTTGTCTTGCCTTGCCTGGTATCAGTTGATTTAGATACTAGAATCCTGCAATTTGACCTTATGTATTTCAAGGTATCTCACTTTCGATGATTCTTAGCTGTCTGTTTCAATTTGATTTCATCTTTTTGAAGGTTCATTATTGGTTTCCTTCTTGCTGGCATCCCTTGGTACCTAGCTGCATTTGTCCTTCTTTGTGCACAAATTGATCCTCGAGAGAAACCAGGATACATCGTGTCCACCATTGCTGTAAGTAATCTTTTTTCTTGGGCAACAAATGTATTAATTGATGATGTGTTTTTGCCTACAAAGTCTAGGTTTTTCGACTTAATCAGAATTTGAAAAACAAAACCATAGAATTCTGCCAATTTGCATATAGCAACTTAATGTCTCATGTAATGTAATAATACCATTCTGTGTTGCATTGCAGGCTGTTCTTGCTACTTTTGTCCTCGTATTTGGTTTGTCGAAGGATTGACTGGAGAGTGGTGATCAATCTGTGTGTATTCATATCGGAACCTTATCTGGCTTTGCTTAATTTGCATTCTTTTCAGTAAAAATTCCATATCTTTGATTCCTTCTTGTATTCTTAAGATCTGCTTGTGAATAGTAATATGTGCTTTTAAGAGTATATGCGTAAGTATTACATTGCTGTGTTCTGTGGTGAGCGGAGTTATATGCTCGTGGAAGTAGCATGTATCCGATATAATAGTCGATGTAACTGCAAGTTGATCACTATTTTGACTATATAAAATGTGTTTGTTTTGTACAAATAATCACTTTTATGGCCCTTCGAATTTCAAACTCGAGGGGTATATTCTAAAGATTTTCTTGTGAGTTATAAATTTAAAACATCTAAATAATTGCTATTTTTCAAGAGACAACAATTAAAACCACATTTGAATTATCGCTTTTTGCGAGTTTCATTCCTGAAATATCATGTGTTTGTTTGTACTAGTTGAATAATCACTAACTATATATTAAAACACACCATAAAACTGACTAGAACAAGTATTTGAATACAGTTCCCAAAAAGCGTGCAACAACATTATTCGCGCATAAAATTTCATCCATATGATAGCCATCTCATTAATTTCAAGACCTGGTTTGATAAATATTTGATAATAGTTTTGATAGAAAATGCAAACACTAATTGTTCATATAAAAACTCACAAAAAAAAAGTGATACTTCAAGTTTATTACAATTATCTCTTTTTAAATTATAGAAATTGAAAATTAGTTATTTTGAATTTTTATTGTAAGATAGTAATATAATTAGTATTCTCCACTTTAGGCCTCGATTATTTTGCAATATAAGAAAAAAGATTTTTAAAAAATCAAGATAGGATGATATAACTTGGAGATATAGTTCATATCTCTTCAAGCCTTGTGATTGGTTAATCAACACTACACAAAACATCTCCAACCACAATTTCTACTTGTGCAATATTAGCCACCCACGTAGGATTCTCATTTTCTCTATACAAATAACAACCAATTCCCTCTTTAGAACCATATCCACATTTGCCCAAGCACAAAATATATTTTGAGAAGTTGAAGAAAATGGCATCAATGGCAGCAACAGCTAGCTCCACCACAGTTGTTAAAGCAACACCATTTTTGGGCCAAACCAAAAATGCTAACCCTCTTAGAGATGTTGTTGCCATGGGCTCTGCCAGATTCACCATGGTATATATACATTATATTCTCTTTTCTTTTCTCCATGTTTTAGTTTTTATGCTAGTTTATCTTGGTATTCGCAAGCTATGGAAACAGTTTCTTGCAGTATCCTTCTCGGACCTCAGACGCGAGAGCTTGTGCATACCTTTTTTTTTCCTTTTCCTACTGGATTTGATGTGACTTGTATTTTTTTTCCTCTCATCTTATTAGAGTAATGATTTGTGGTACGGACCTGACCGTGTTAAGTACTTGGGACCCTTTTCTGCTCAAACTCCTTCTTACTTGAACGGAGAGTTCCCTGGTGACTACGGATGGGACACTGCTGGTTTATCCGCTGATCCCGAGGCCTTTGCCAAGAACAGAGCTCTTGAGGTACAGTTATTTGTTCACTCACACTTACCAAAAAGAGAACTAAGATTTGCATACGTCCTACCTTCCTCAGACGCCACTCATTTTGCTTAGTGACATTGAACTATATAGGTTATCCATGGAAGATGGGCAATGCTTGGTGCACTAGGTTGCATTTTCCCCGAAGTTCTTGAAAAATGGGTGAAGGTAGACTTCAAAGAACCAGTATGGTTCAAAGCAGGATCACAAATCTTCAGTGACGGTGGACTTGACTACTTGGGAAACCCTAACCTTGTCCATGCTCAGAGTATTCTAGCTGTGCTAGGTTTCCAAGTGGTGCTTATGGGACTTGTTGAAGGTTTCAGAATCAACGGACTTCCAGGCGTTGGAGAAGGCAACGACTTATACCCCGGTGGCCAATATTTTGACCCACTCGGCCTTGCGGATGACCCTACCACATTTGCTGAACTCAAGGTAAAGGAAATCAAAAACGGAAGACTAGCTATGTTCTCCATGTTTGGATTCTTCGTTCAAGCTATTGTTACCGGTAAAGGCCCTCTTGAAAACCTATTAGATCACCTTGACAACCCTGTGGCTAACAATGCTTGGGTTTACGCCACTAAGTTTGTTCCTGGAGCTTAGATTTATGTTTCAATTCATTGGAAGTACTACCATTTGTGTAACTGAAATCTTCAGAAATGCAAATATATTGTAGATGCAAATCGTTTCAACCTTTGTTTACTAACATTTGTAGAGATAAAAGAGGTCATGAGCACAAAAATGAACTATTAGAATAGAAAATTTGGATATAACAATTTCATTTACTGAACTCAATCAAATCTATTCTATATTCAATTCTTCTGTTCTTCACACCAAATCTAATCGAAAATCATAAATCCAACAGAAAAATCGACAGAAAACAAACAAATCTAAATCTAAGAGCTAGTGAATTTGGTAACAGCTTTAGTACCCTCAGAGACGGCGTGCTTAGCCAATTCACCGGGAAGGACCAATCGAACAGCAGTTTGAATCTCCCGAGAAGTGATGGTAGGCTTTTTGTTGTACCTAGCAAGCCTGGATGATTCCTGAGCAAGCTTCTCGAAGATATCATTGATGAAGCTGTTCATGATTCCCATAGCCTTACTTGAAATACCTATATCTGGATGAACCTGCTTCAACACCTTGAAGATGTAGATCTTGTATGTCTCAATCGACTTCTTCGATTTCTTCTTCTTCTTGTCTCCAGCAGCAGCAGCTCCGCCGTCCTTCGGCAGCTTCTTGCCGGCCTTAGGAGCTTTCTCAGCTGATGGCTTCTTCTCTGCCTTTGGAGCCATTGAAGGGAAAATTTGGGGGATTTTGGGGTTTGAATAGTGTGAAGTGAAAGGGATGAAGAGATTTATTTATATAGGAGTTTGAGCTAGATGTTCATTGGTTGATATTGGATGACGCAGATCGTGAATTTGGACCGTTGGATCGTGTAATAAATCAACGGTGTAGAATGAATGATGAATTAAATTAAATTAAAGTAGATTCTCCTTCCTAATTTAGTATTTGGGAACTTTGGTTTATAATTTATCCTGATATAAGTTAATATCATAAATTAAATACTGAATAAATATAATTTTAAATTTTATAGTGAAATTAATAAATATTTCTTAAGGGTACTTTTGTGTTTAAAAATTTTCCTAACTCTTTTTTTTTAATATATGTATTTTGATTCTTATTTTATCATGCATAAAACATAATAAACAGATTCTACTATGACTTAATTTGAGTGTTATTTAATATCGTCAACAAAGGGTGTTATAATTTTCTTAAAATTAATTAAAATGGATCGAATCGAACATTGTCATATTGAAAAAATATATATATTATATTGATATTATTACATTTTAAAATGATTTTATATAAATTTATATTATTATTGAATAATCAGGGTATTTTTAAATTTTATAGAAAAAATATTTAGTCAAATAATAAATTTATATGTAATTATAATAAATTATATATGTTTAAATGATGTGATAATAGTCTAATCACAATAATATTCGTTAGAAATACACGATCCAGAATGTGATAATAGAGTTTAAAAGGCTCAAATATCTCATCGAACTTTCAGAAAAGGCTCATTTATGTCTTCAGTTAAAACTTTGGATCATTTATGTCATTACTGTTAAAGAAAATGTTCATTCATGTCATTGTTTTTTAACTGTGGTTTTGTGAAACCATTTTTAACATGTGGCCAATTATAATTCGGCCACATCATCAATTTTTTTAAATAAAAAAATCATGATTCTGAAAAAAAAAATTGAATTAATTTTTTTTTGACTTTTTTTATTAAATAAAGTGATGACGTGATTGAATTATAATTTGGCCACATATCAAAAATGGTTTTGCATAACCACCGTTATAAAATAATAGCATGAATGAATCTTTTCTTTAACGAGAATGACATAAATAAGCCAAAATTTTAACTGATGACATAAATATGTCTTTTCTAAAAGTTCGATGGCATATTTGACCTTTTCCCTTACTAAAATATAGATTGTCTATTTCTACAAATATAAATAGAGAGATTACATAACTTTTTGAGAACATACGTTAGCATTGAAAAATATATTATCATTGACTAATTAGTTCGAAGTGTTGTTTAGCATTTCGATTATCATATAATTTGAGATATATATTATTGAAGGTCGTCAAATTACCAATTATCATATAATTTGAGAAATATATTATTGAAGGTCATCAAATTACCAAAAGAAATTAGCGGAGAAAAATCCAAAGTACAATGTAATTGTACTCAACAAAGTTTATCAATAAAGTAACAATTTTTTCTTTATTTATAGTTAAATTCAACATTTGAAATTTTATTACGAATAATCAAAACTTACAACTAGGATATGAGTTTTGTTATATATAATATGATGAAAATATACGATTTGCATATGATTTGTATACAATTATGTTGTTGTATTTTGTACACCATCTATATGCATTTTAGAGTGTATATTATTTTACATCCAAGCTCCAATAATACATTAGTTATAAAAACAATATACAACTTATTTATATACTGGCGTTTCCTCAAAAATTGGTACTAATATTTACTATTTAGTTAATATAGACATGTAAAATTTTTTAGTTTAGTCCATATATATTTGAACTTAATTCAAAATTATTTGATACAATGGTTTATTTGAACTTCACAAATTAAGTAATCTATTTTACTTTCCAAATTAAAATTTATTTCATTTCAAAGCCTAAAGTCGTGATATATGTCAAGTAACTTGATATTTCCGTCAAATTCAAGATCAACACGATCATATCGTTCAAATTCAAGAATCAATAGTATTCAAAATGACATGTTAAGGCCGATAAAATATAGTCTTATCACGTTGCATTTGTGATAAACATGAACCAATCAAAATGTGTTAAAGAGAGTTGATTAACACTTGTTGTCTGCCTTAACATTTATAAATAGAGGGATGATGCATGACTTCTTTAAAGCATTCATTAAGCTTTTGAAATAGCATTATCAAAAGGTTATTTTCGAAGATCAACTCAAAATAGTAAAGTATTGTCCAATATTTTTAATGATCAAAATACATTTCTAAGAGATCCAAATTATCGTGTGATTTGAGAAATATGGTACTAAAGATCCTTGTATCACAAAAAAAATAATAGCAAAGAAGCATCAAACAAACAAAATAACTGGTCTCCACAAAATACATTAATAAAATTATTATTTTTTTCTTTGGCTGTAGTTAATTTTCAACACAAAAAATTTGTACGAACAACCAAGACATGCAACTCATACACAAATTTATTGATGTATACAATCTTGTCAAAATATACACTTGCATATAATTTGGACACAGTTGTTTTGTTGTATTCTGTATATCATGTGTATGCATTTTATGTGTAGGGTATATCAACAATACATTAGTGGTGGTTAATGAAACATCCAAGTCCCTTGTAAGTTATAACTAATATTTATTTATGGCTTAGATATACTTTTGATGAAAGAATGAGAGAGATAAAGAAAGAAAATGAAAAAGAGTGGAGCTTAATCCTATATTTTATTTTATTGTTTTGTTAAATATTTGAAAAATATTTTAAGTTTGATCGAAATTATTATTACTATATCAAACTTTATGGAGGACTTTTTACTCTTCTAACTAATTAATAGTCTATTTTTTACACCACCCCCTCTCGAACTATTTAATAGTGTATTATAAAGTTATAAATGTGTCCACGTAGACACATTACTATTTATAGTTATGCAATATTTTTTATATCCACGTGGATACATATACCTTTAAAATACACTATTAAATACTGTAGGAGTAAAAGATCTTTTGCAAAATTTAGTATCATAATAACAATTTCGATCAAAGTTTGTATATATTACGGACCCTTTTTTTCAATATCTTATGAACATTATTGGATCATAAGAGTCGTAGATAATTTTCATTGCTTCAGTCAGTCAACTACGTTATCTTTAAGAACATTTTATCCCAAATAGGTGTATCTCCAAACTTTAATAAACTCTTCTAATATAATTATAATAATTTTAAATTAACAAATAAAAAGAAAACCCAAAGAGTCAGAGAGCAGGAAAGAAAGTCTATCCTTAAATTCTTCGAAAGACAGGGTATTTTAAAAGAAAAATGGTATATAATAACGAACTAGTAATCCAAATTAAATATTATAATCACAGTTTAATTTAATTGTAACCTAACAAATAGTTGTCATTCGCCTCTCTCTAGGTTTTTCGCTTGCTACTCTCGTCAGTCTCTCCCTCGCCTCTCTTGCTTTTATATAAATACAAATGTATAAATGTGTTTGTATAAAACGAGAGAAAATTGTATATAGAAATATGAATAAATATATTTTCGTCATACACTTATAATTATGCAAATATAGATTTTCCCATTCCTAGTTCTCTTTTGTTTTTCTTGCTTTATACAAATACATATTATACAAATTAATTGGCTCATACACTAATGAGATTTCTATAAACTACTCTTAAATGAATAGTTTTGGTCCATGCGTCGACTATGGCCCAGCCTATAGGATTAATATGAGTCAGACTTATAAACCATAATTTTAAGAGCAAATTACATAATCCCACTAGCTTAGAACCTAATTACTAGAATTCAAGATAGTTTCAATAATTACATCATATACCATATCTTGTTCGTCGAATACATATATCCGACAATTTGAATTAAAGAGATACATGTTTTAGTAATTTTAAATTAAACGTACTTAACGGATTTACTTAAATAAAGAAGTAATTATGCTTAATTAATAACTCATACTGATTTGCAGATTCATGCATATCAGTTCTAACAAAATCCTTCTAAAATAACGAAATCCTAAAACCACAATAATTCTCTGATCGAAAACAATTTTTACTTTGTTTCTTGCATTTGATAATTTTTTCAAAATGATCAATATCTTCATGAGGATCAATGAAATACTTCTCAGGGATAATGTGACTTATCATGATCTTGTTGAATGTATTTCCATGAAACTACAAATCGATTGCAATCATAATGTTTGGGACTCAATTTTGAAAAATTTACTTTAGCTTTTGACCTATTCCAGTTATCCAACCTTTTTTGCAAATCATGTTTCTATGGAAGGAGAATGTAACTCTAGACAAACTACGGATCTTATGGGAAAGATTGCTAGTTTTACATCTTATAGTTATGTACTAAAGCAATTATGACCAGATATAGTGTGTGATATGAAATTAGTCGTAATGTTCTAGAGATCATATACATGGTGAAAAACAATTCGCCTCCAATTAAAATTTGGAACGAAATGAAAATGAATTTGTTTATGGAATAAAAAGACACAAATCTGATTTTGGCTTGTATTCATCATGCGTAACAACTACAGAGAAAATTATTGGATGGTGAAATAATTTTTGCGTCGGATATATCAATTGTTTGATTTCATTTTTTTCCTCTGTAATAAAAGATTTGAATAGTCTTAGATACTTTTAGTTTAGGTATGGAAAGTTGCTTTTTATATCTTATTTTTTCTTTAGATACATGATGCAAACTATTACATTGTAATTTACTAATTTTTTGTTAAGAAAATATTTTTTTTACAGTTTCAGATACACTATTTATCATATTAGATACATGTATATGAAATATCTATAGAATTCATATAAAAAATACTTAGATACATGAAATAATCAAATCAAATACGTGTCACAATCGTATATAGATACATTAAAATATGAGCGAAAAATGAAATAAAATCTTAATTTACCTCCTTGAATAATGTTAAATGAATATTATCAAGAAGATGTTCTGAATTTAGTACATGCAAACAATGGATGTGATGTGAGAGAAAGTAAAATTTGAT